GCCAATATACTACATATTTTTGACATTTAAGGGGTAATTCTATGCTATTTAGCATGTGCACTGTTTGTCTCAAAACATGAAAAATACCAGCGTTACAGTTCATTTCACCTTGACCTTTGACCTACTTTACAAAGAATACCCCGTACACTTTAATTTCTCTTAAAACTTTTGAGTGGCGGGGTGTTCATAAATAACATTTTTACATGTTTATGACCTCATAATTCTATTCTTTGAAAATATATGATATTCAGTTACCACACAAACTGAAATTTAAGTATTATGAAAAACATCGGGATCGGGATCCCTCAACAGATCGTGTAGAGCGACAGTTGGTGTAAAGACTGAGAAACACGTATGAACACATGCCCCCCCCCCTTTTTTCCAACATTACCTTTACTATTGAAAATGTTCATTGAAAGGATGTTTGCCCCCCCCCCCACTTGTTAACCCAGTAAAAGGATATCAAGGAAATGTAGCATTGTATGGGGAAAAATTGGAAGTGAAAGTTGGCTACTACCCCCCCCCTCCCCAAACACACACACAAACACCACGAAATTCCTTTTTTTGCTTGTTAAATTTTACAGGTAAGTAAACAAGAGGCCCATGGGCCACTTTGCTCACCTTATCACTGTGGCTAGGAAAAAGCAGATTTGGTTTGTACTTGAAAAGCTTAAATCCAAAAGTAGTCCCATGACCAATCCTGGCTTTGCTATTCTTGAGAAGATTTTTAAAGAATTTTTCTATACATTTCTATGTAAAACTTTGGTCGGCCGTTTTGGCCCCTCCCTACCCCTGGGGGTCATAATTTGAATAAACTTGAATCTACACTACCTGAGGATGCTTCCATATAAATATGATCAATTTTGGCTTTGCTATTCTTGAGGAGAAGATTTTTAAAGAATTTTCCTATATATTTCTATGTAAAACTTTGGTGGGCCATTTAGGCCCCGCCCTACCCCGGGGGTCATGATTTGAACAAACTTGAATCTACACTACCTGAGGATGATTCCATATAAATTTGATCAATTATGGCTTTGTTGTTCTTGAGGAGAAAATTTTTAAAGAAATTTCCTATATATTTCTATCTAAAACTTTGGTCGGCCATTTTGGCCCCACCCTACCCCCGGGGGTCATGATTTGAACAAACTTGAATCTACACTACCTGAGGATGCTTCCATATAAATATGATCAATTATGGCCTTGCTATTCTTGAGGAGAAGATTTTTAAAGAAATTTTCTATATATTTTTATGTGAAACTTTGGTCGGCCATTTTGGCCCCACCCTACCCCTGGGGGTCATGATTTTAACAAACTTGAATTTACACTACCTGAGGATGCTTCCATATAAATATGATCAATTATGGCTTTGTTGTTCTTGAGAAGAAGATTTTTAAAGAATTTTCCTATATATTTCTATGTAAAATTTAGGTCGGCCATTTTGGCCCCGCCCTATCCCCGGGGGTCATGATTTGAACAAACTTGAATCTACACTACCTGAGGATGTTTCCCCATAAGTTTCATCTTTCCTGGCACTGTGGTTCTTGAGAAGAAGATTTTGAAAAGATGCTACCAAATTTTCATTAATTCCCAATTATCTCCCCTTGAATGAGGGCGTGGCTCTTCATTTGAACAAACTTGAATCCCCTTCACCCAAGGATACTTTGTGGCAAGTTTGGTTGAAATTGGCCCAGCGGTTCTTGAAAAGAAGTCGAAAATGTGAAAAGTTTACAGACAGACAGACGGACGCCGGACAAAATGTGATCAGAAAAGCTCACTTGAGCCTTCGGCTCAGGTTAGCTTAAAAAGAAATTTTCTCTGGCTGCCCCCCCCCCCGCCCACTTTCAAAAACGATGCTACATGCCTGACTGGGTCCATTTGCCCTATCTCACTGTTCGCACGAGTCTGTTTGCCATAATCCTCATTCGCCCCGCACCCCTTTCACCCTATACCCCGTTTGCCATGATATTGTAAATCTGTTAATATTTCTGTTCAATTATAATTTTTTTCTTATCATGCAGTATATGAATGTGTACTATTATTAATCCATACTGTTTGTGGGAAAGTATTGAATTATAATTTAGAAAAAAAAAGTGAAATTCAATACAATTAAGAATAACTAATGAACTGACATATATTCAATATAAAATATGGCCAATGCACCATGGGCGAACAAGTTTAGAGCAAACGAACTCCGGGCAAACACAAATTAGGGCGAACAGCATCAAGGGTAAACACGCTTGAAGGTAAATAAACATAAATACGTACTAGCTATAGATGATTAACCTAGTATTTCAATAGAAGTTTGGCAATTTCTTTTGAAAAGGAAAACGTTATTATCAAGAGGAAATAGTCATGAAGAATACTGAATTTGAATGCTTTTCTTACAGATCCAGCTGACACAAAGAATAACATACTCCGAATGATTTTTGAAGATGATTAAGATGGTGAAGGGGAAACTCCCCCAAACAAATGTACCAGTCCGATAGACAACAATTATAATAATTTGGAGCTAGGATCCAACGGTACATATGTCATACATAAACTTCAACTAGTTGATGGTGAAAAGATTTTAAACTGCTATAATTCAAGAAATATAGACATTTTTCTCAGCCCTTTAACTCAGTCTAATGTGATTCATCTGAATATGGATTCCCATCTTCATGTGATGCGTCCACAAAATGCTTAAATACATCATCTGAATGTTTCCCATCTGAATAATTTTAACGTTTGGGGTATCAAACATAATACAAGTAGCCTTAAAGAATTAGTCCTGAAATAAGGTATCTAAGCAGAAAATTACAAACAAATGGAAAAACGTGAAAAAGAAGTACAGGGAGACGATGGATGCCAACAAAAAAAGGGGAAACCAAAGCAAGTTGTGTCGAAAAGAGGTAAAAGTTGCCTTTTGTTTGTAATGTGTAGCAGGACCATCGCTGCATATATCGACGCCATAGAAGCAAATGGTCGTAATTGGTAGATACGACCCAAAATACGTTTTAAGCGTTATCCATAATTTAATGGGTAAATCTATCACATATCAAAAGGTCGTAACTGTAGCTCCGTTAGTTTAAAAGGTATGCTGAGTACAATTTTGTCGTATGTGAAAAGAAATTAGTTATCGTAATATGTATAAAGTCCTAACTACAATTCATATAGAAGCAAAAGGTTTTAAGTGGCACATACGACAATGTAAATGACAGAAACTACCAAACTTTTAAGAACTCTTGGTCTTAACTACCACTTAAGACCTTTGAAAACTTTTAAAAAATTTTAAAACCATTTTAATAGTACATGATTACAGCAAATTTTAAGCATTATTGTGATGATATAATTTGTATTTCAATAAAATAAACATCCAATAAACCAGTGATCTATCTAAATTATGCTCAATAGTCATTCTACCCCCAGAATCTAAAAGAGAAAGGACGCCAATGGTCGCAGCAACATCAATGAGAAAAAAATAATTAAAATTTAAAATCTTACTTCACATATCAATATAGACAAGAAATTACGTCTTCTTACAAATATATAATGCATTTTGTTTCAAACAGGTTTTATTTGAATAATGAATTTTATTGCAAACGCTTTATTATATGAAAGGTAGTAAGTGGAACAAAATTTGAGTTATTGTTTTAAAAAAAGACAACTCAGGCTCGTAGCAACGGGGGGGGGGGGGGGGGCACTTTTTTCTCCAACATTACTTATACTGTAGTAAATGTTCATTGAAAGGCTAATTGCCCCCCCCCCCCCCCACACACACACACGCACACACAACTTGTTTTGGTATAAGGAAAATGTAGTATTTCAATTCAGAAAAATTGGTACTAAAAGAAGTTGGCATAGAAAAAAGTTGGCTTCACCCCCCCCCCAAACAAAATGGATTTTCTACTTTGGACTTTGAACAACTTTCCCCCTTTTTTGCTTATCATTTTTTTCTGTTAAGTAAAGAAAAAAATTCTCTTTACCATTTAGCATATTAAAATTAAATTTCAAAATTTCTTTTGATTCGGGAAAAAAAGTTTTATGTAATAAAGGTTAGTTTTTTTAATGCACATTATATTATAATCCTTTCAAAGAAAAGGGATATTTAATACATAATTATATTATCAATCTAACTTCCATAGTAATACAGTTTCTGTGTACCATGTTCAGTAAACATGAAAGGGTCAAAAGTTAATTAGAAGGTCACCACGAGTCCAAATAAAGGTTTACAGAGTATACACAGGGACCAGTTAGTAAGTGTCAATCAAGTTCCAGCATCCAATGATGAACCTTACGCACTTGATTGACAGGGTTACCCAGACCAGGTATTTTTGAAGGCGGTGCTAAAAATCTCTGCCTTTAAGAGAATTATAGGTTCAGCAGAAGATATTTTTTAACGACTATACCTTTGCCTGTACAACTCTTAGAGAGCTATAGTATTACAACCCTTTATATCCATTGAAGTAAAATCAATGAGGTCCAGTCATGTAGAACATGGTAGAATGGGACTTAATGCACTTTGTGATATGATATAATATTGAAAGAAAACAGTTTAAGAACATTTAGAAACTGACCACATTGCGTAAAAAGTTTGATATGACAGTGATGAGGATCACATATTTTAAATAAACACACATTAAAAAGAAGAAAAAAAAACATACTCGGGTAATTAAAAAGTCCCTCCCCCCCCCCTCCCCCCCAAAAAAAACCAAGGTCAAAGAAAAAACAAAAGATAACGGTGTATCAACGTTTGAGAATACACAAGACAACAACGTATCAGATAGAACACAAGAGAACACAGAGGCAGTAGAGAGAACACAAAGACAGTAGAGAGAGAGGCAGTACAGAGAACATAAAATATATAGAGGCAGTAGAGAGAAACAGAGGCAATAGAGAGAACACAGTGGCAGTAGAGGAACACACGAGACCACAGTGGAAAGAACACAGTGCAGTAGAGAGATCATAGGGCAGTAGAGAGAACACAAGAAAACACAGTGCCAGTAGAGGAACACAAGAGATCACAGGGCAGTAGAGAGAAACAGAGGCAGTAGAGAGAACACAAGAGAACACAGTGGCAGTAAAGAGAACAAAGAGGCAGTAAAGAGAACACATAGGTAGTGGAGAGAACACATAGGTAGTAGAGAAAACACAGAGGCAGTAGAGAGAACACATAGGTAGTAGAGAAAACACAGAGGCAGTAGAGAGAACACATAGGTAGTAGAGAGAACACAGAGGCAGTAGAGAGAACACAGAGAGAACACAATGGCAGTAGAGAGAACACAGATGTAGTAGAGAGAACACAGAGGCAGTAGAGAGAACACATAGGTAGTAGAGAGAACACAGAGGCAGTAAAGAGAACACATAGGTAGTAGAGAGAACACAGATGTAGTAGAGAGAACACAGAGGCAGTAGTGAGAACACAGAGGCAGTAGCGAGAAAGAGAGAACACAAGATAACACAGAGGCAGTAGAGAGAACCAAGGGCAGTAGAGAGAACACAGAGGCAGTAGTGAGAACACAGAGGCAGTAGCGAGAAAGAGAGAACACAAGAGAACACAGTGGCAGTAAGAGAGAACATAGAGACAGTAGCAGAGAAAGAGAGAACACAAGAGAACACAGTGGCAGTAGAGAGAACACAGTGGCATTAGTAAGAACACAAGATAACACAAAGGTAGTAGAGAGAACACAGAGGCAGTAAAGAGAACGCAAGATAACACAGAGGCAGTAGAGAGAACACAGTGGCATTAGTAAGAACACAAGATAACACAAAAGTAGTAGAGAGAACACAGAGGCAGTAAAGAGAACGCAAGATAACACAGAGGCAGTAGAGAGAGAACACAAGAGGACACAGTGGCAGTAGGGAGGACACAAGAAGACACAGTGACAGTAGAGAGAACACAAGAGAACACAGTGGCAGTAGAGAGAAACAGAGGCAGTAGAGAGAGAGAGAGAACACAGTGGCAGTAGAGAGAAACAGAAGCAGTAGAGAGAACACAAGAGAACACAGAGGCAGTATAGAGGACATAGAAGAACACAGTGGCAGTAGAGAGAAACAGAGGCAGTAGAGAGAACACAAGAGAACACAGTGGCAGTAGAGAGAACACAGTGGCATTAGTAAGAACACAAGATAACACAAAAGTAGTAGAGAGAACACAGAGGCAGTAAAGAGAACGCAAGAACACAGAGGCAGTAGAGAGAGAACACAAGAGGACACAGTGGCAGTAGGGAGGACACAAGAAGACACAGTGACAGAGAGAGACACAAGAGAACACAGTGGCAGTAGAGAGAAACAGAGGCAGTAGAGAGAACACAAGAGAACACAGTGGCAGTAGAGAGAAACAGAGGCAGAAGAGAGAACACAAGAGAACACAGTGGCAGTAGAGAGAACACAAGAGAACACAGTGGCAGTAGAGAGAAACAGAGGCAGTAGAGAGAACACAAGAGAACACAGTGGCAGTAGAGAGAACACAAGAGAACACAGTGGCAGTAGAGAGAAACAGAGGAGTAGAGAGAACACAAGAGAACACAGTGCAGTAGAGAGAAACTGAGGCAGTAGAGAGGACACAAGAGAACACAGTGGCAGTAGAGAGAACACAAGAGAACACAGTGGCAGTAGAGAGAACAAGAGAACACAGTGGCAGTAGAGAGAACAAAGAGACAATTTGTTTACTTTTTGTTTTGTTTTGCAAAATAGTATTTCAAATACACTCCAAATTGTGAATCGTACAGAAATCTATTTTTATTCTATTTGACACAATGTTATTGCTTAAATATAAACCTACTTGATTAGCAAATTTCGTGCTCATTATCTGTTTAAATGTTGATGCTTCGATTTGTAGACTAACCATGCCAACGGTCAGCTTCGCAAGTTATGTAACAATATTTAAAAGCTAAAACTACATATTTGTAATGTTTCTAATGAAGTGATTATGTACAATGACTCAAATTGTTTTTGACATTATTATTTCTTTTTATTTTCATTGTTTTAAACTATTTACTGAGTAGTTTATAAAATAGGTTCCTGTACTAAGAAGGTTGTTTCGATAAATTAATTTTAAAGAACTTTTTTTTTGATTTAGTAGCAAATACATGAAAACACATATCAATCTTTATCATTCTGTTTAGTTGAGTAACATGATAAACATCATAATAAAAACACGTAACTATATAAACATAATTCACTTAAATCAAATTAATGGTAGTGTTCTTATTACTAATATGCAGAAAGGTAGTATGTGGAAGTTGCCATCTTAATTCCTGTAAAAATAATTGTATATTTCAAAGGCAAAAGGTCATATGTGTAAAAAATTAATAAAAGTAATGGTTTAAAACACATTTTTAAACTTTTTCAGCACTTTTTAGAGATATTTAGCTATTCTGCACAATACTGAAAAGTTTTAAAGAACACTTTTATTTTTTCCACGAATGAAACAGTTTTTTCATTTTTCTTTCTTATTTGAAATCAAATGATGCACAGACCTACGACCTTTTGCTTCTATGGCGTCGTTATATCAATTTACTTGCTGCTTACAAATGTGCCTTTAATTTTCAATGTTTACATGTTAAGGACAAAAAATTTGTAATATGAATGTGTAATTACTCAACCGTGACCGTTTTTGTTAAAAAGCATGACGTTCAGTTTCATATGTTTTTAGGGTGTATTTTATATTCTTTCACTTCCATGTATTCTTTATCGTTAATTGATAACAAAAAACAGAAAAAAGCTTTAATAAAATGCGGTGTATGTCCACACAACAATGTGCAAGTGAAGTTGAAATGACCCGAGCTGGTCGTAGTTAAAGCTGACATGAATTCTTAAAAACGTAACATTTTCATCTATGTACGACTTGTTTCATACCAACTATAGCCGTATTCCGCCATATTTCTTTCAGATACATTGTCTCATTGTAACGATATATACCCCAATGCGGTCGTTACACTTGAATGATTTTTTGGCTTGGGTATCGACTTGTGCACATCTCCGATGGTAAAGAACATGAGAACACATTAGGTGATCAAGACATTTCAAAACCACAACAAACAACACAATAATCAAATTTTGAATAATTATTGATTTGAATCAAAAGGAAAAAAAAGTGCAAGTTTGGAAGAGAAATTTAGATGCATGAGTACGTATTTTACAGTGCGCAAATTTATGCAGAATAAACTTGAAATAAAAGCAGTAAAATCTGCAAACATATTTTGAAATTATATCATTTGAATGGAACAAAACAACCTACGTCTTTGATTTGCAGGTCCCTAAAGATTGATACATATAGAAAACGCCTCGAACGCTGTAAACTTACCCATACCTGGAAATAAGGTTACTGCATCGGTTCGAAAATGTGCACAAGTCAAGTGATATACACCCTGAATTCCATTTATTGAAATATGCATCACAAAAAAGAAATAAACTCCACAAAAGCTCAATGGTAAACACACCGTCATTACTCCGTACAGTCGATACACTTAGTCCGTGCTGATCACATTTTGGTCAGGGAAAATATTTAAAGTGGAAAGAGAAGTTATTTGGTATTTGTGCGGCTGAAAAAGGGGGGGGGGGGGGGTCAAAAGTATCATAACTGCTGTTCATAAGCTATAATTGTGAATTGTCTATCTACATGTAGTTCTAATATACATTCTATACAAAGTCATGTATATAGTCTGCACTTGGTTTGCATCGCAAAATTTATTTGTCAATTATAACTGATTGTTTTAGTACTAATCTCCAATCTAAACCATGTAATTTTTATGTGTACATCTATACGTTCTTTACACACACACACACACACACGGAGAAAGGCCATCCCCTGTTCAGATTCACATTTAGGCATTTGATTTTTTTTTAGGCGCGGGGGGGGATGCAAAAATAATTGACATGACCGTTATTAAAATATTCTTGGAAGACAGACATTTCTGCCGAATTCAATTTTGAGATTTTTTTTAAATGGGTCACTCCGACTACAAAGTATGTGCATTTTGAGGAATGTAACTGTATTATGTTGTTACAGAGAGTCTTTCAAGATTTCAGTATTCCTGCTTGATAGTCTAGCCATTTTTTTGTATCAACATAATTTCTTTAGAAGTATTTGAGAGATAATTTTAAGAGCTAGGGTAGGGATACTTGACACTGGTTAAATACGGATAATTTTTATTACCTCTTTTGTATATTGAATTCTCTCTCTCCTCTCTCTCTCTCCTTCCCTCTCCTATCCGTTAGGGCAATAATAGGTTTAAGATCCTACGCACTTTGTGCTGTACCATTTATTAAGCCTTAGAACTGATCGAGAATTTTTCTCAGGCGGGATGTCAAAACTTCATAAATTGAAAGATAATTTTAATTTGGACAAGAAATTAAACCCCACGCCCAAATTGAAATAGAAACTAGAGGTATTGTGAGCAATGAGCTCACTAAATAATACCCCACCTCCCATATGATTATAATGGCAAAGTCCATATTTTGCTGTTTGCTAAACCCAAAATATGTGTCAAATCAAAAAGCAGGCACGTAGCACCGCACTTTAAAGTGTTGGCCAGGCAGAGAATTATTTTTCATTACCTGAAAAGTTGACAAGCAAAAACAAAACCACACCTTCAATTAACATTTCCTATAGTGTGAGTTAGGTAAACTTTTGTCCCCCCCCCCCCCCCCCCGTTGCTACACCCCTCAAAAGTAAAATAAGATTTGCACAATGGTAATATGTAATAAACCTAAGATTCTGTGAAAGTTTCAAACAAGTGGTACAAGATGACGATTGGTACCCCAACGCGTATGATTCAAACGGCGGACATAACGGTTACTATATACCCTCCCACGTTTCAAGCGGGGGATACAATACACGTGAAATATACATCACAGGATTGGGAACTTTCTCAAATACCTTCTCAAACGTACGTGTCGAACCTGGACCTGGACAACAGACAAAAAAAAAAAGAGAATTTGTAAAAAGCTAATTGTAGGTAGAATGTGGAATTCTCATGGGGAGTTTGCTCTCTCTTCCTATATGCTTTTTCTAATAATCATTAATTATTTATGTCTAGAAATTTAATTCACATTAAATTTTATTTTCATTATCATTGCACCACAGAATCAAACTCATTTATTATACCCCTTGCAATAAGTTGCGTGAGGTATAATGTTTTTGACCCGTCAGTCAGTCTTTATTTTCATTTCTTTTTTGGTTAGCGCAACTTCTCATAAACCACTGCACTGAGTTTTGTCGAACTTTGCAGATATTTATAGGATACAATGTGTGTGTAGATTTGCACATCACCAGAAAATTCCGAATTCTTTGTTTTTTCGGGAATTTCCGCACTTTTACATTTAGATTTTGGCCATATCTTGAATATAGAGATGAGCAATTTGTCAGCACAATTCCTCTTAAACTGCTGCACACAATTTCGTCAAACTTTGCAGATATTTATAGGACACAATGTGTACAGATGAGCATATTACATGGAATTTACGATTCCTTTATTTTTTCTGGGAATTTCAGCACTTCGTCTTTTGGGGGAGAGTGGGGTATGTGAACTTGCTCACTTTTTTCTTTCATTGTGCATAAAATTATAAATAACTTCAATCAAATTTTACTTTGCAGATATTTATAGGAGACAATGTGTGTGTAGATTTGCACATGATAATTAAACTGTTTCAGAATTTCCGCACTTTTACATATAGATTTTTTATTTTTATGAGAGTGTTAATATGCATGTTTTATTACCCCCCCCCCCCTCCTATCACAGAA